CACTGGCTGGAGCGGACCCGACTCATCCCAGAAGCTGATATCTTAATTTGACCTTGAATGAAAAATAACCTCTTAAAAGTTTTTATCACGGTGGAGGCAGCTTTCATTTCTGCCTTCAGTCTGACGGCGCGCCGGAGTTAAAGCAGCGTGTGCGCTTATTGAATCTGTGTGTGTGCGCGCGCGGCACAGCCGCTCAAGTCACTGCGTCTCGCGCTATTTAAACCAACGTTGTAAAATGACTTCTGCCCAGCCCAGATGTGCTCACTTGCGCACCCGTGAGCCGTGGTTCCGCTGGAACACATCTGACCTCTGACAGACGCACTCTGAACTTCAGATCTTCAGCGCGCTGTCAATAGCCTGAATGGGAATCATTTCTTGTTATTTAGTTACATCCACAATGTTCTGTGTGTGAGGTTTACAATGTCAGAACACCTGCATGAGACAGGTGTTCATTACAATCTGCCAGAGTGATTCGCCACCTTCAGATTCCTCCAACACCGTTAAAAATGATCAAATACGGAACATATCGGCGTGCGCAGGCCAGAGTGCTGAAGCTCGGCGCATTGTTATTATGAAGCTAGGGCACATGTGGAGGACGCTCACAAAAATATACGTGTTTTCAATTACATTTATTGTGCCCACTTACTTTTTCTTTGGCCCACCCACAAATGAGTTTCTACGCTAATGGTGACATATGACAGACTTCTCTGAGCTCCGCAGCCATTACACTTTTCACCTCGCGCACCCCCTAGCGGCAGCTCGCGCACCCCCAGGGGTGCGCGCACCACACTTTGGGAATCCCTGCTCTAAACTATGATGTTATCTTCAGAAGCACATTCAGACGCAATCTCTCTGTGTTCTACCTCACCCTTCTGATGACCCTCGTCATGGATCCGGAGGTCAGAGAGGTAGGTTAACCTCGGGGCACCCAGGTCCGGTAGATTGACCGCAAGCACCCACTTCTCCAGTCCAGAAGATGTCACCAGGCAGCACAGGTTGGAATCAGCTTGCGCCTCAGGAATAACTCTTAAGGAGTTGAACAATATCAGCTTTGTTCTGCAGGAACTATTTGCTGTCTCAGCTTTGTAGGTGCAAAAAGTTTTGACGACGTGTCAAAATCTTTGACTGTTAAAGAGATCTGCTAAAGATGGCCGGTCTGAAGCTTTCTCTAGAACTGGCAAATTACTCAAAGTGATTTGGTTTTAAAGAATTGATGTCATTTTATTCACAGCCAATCAGAGGCTGACAGGTTTGAGAGATGTTTTACCAAGGCAACTCAGAAACACGCCTTCTTTGATATGGAAGTCCTGACTGGTAAAGGAAACACGCCATGTGTTGCAGTCTTAACCGTACTTGTTATTGTGGATGTGCAGGTGTGATGACCTTGTCGTCAAAACATGTTGAACACATTGCAGTCTAGTAGACAAACACAACATCCATTCAGTGAGCACAGATTAATGAAGCATTTCATTATACTATGATTATTATAAGTAGTAATAAACAAATGTTTAATGATTATCTAGATTGAAAGTCATACAAGTTCACATTGATTTATTATAATCATTCTTGAATTGAGCTATTAATTCAAACTGGTGTTCTTCTTCCTTCTGGAGGCAGACAGATGAGACCTTGGGGGGAAGTAAGTTATTGTTTCTCTTTCAGACTAGCAGAGTCTGAATCCCAGCTGGTGTGAAGCAGACAGATTTAAACACAAGAAATGCTGTGTCTCCTTTCTGACCAGATGTTGAATAGATGGTGAAAGGTCAGGCTGTACCTAAACTGACCATTGCTGGACGCTACAATAGTAACGCAGGCAATTTTCTTATCAGTGACGGAAACGGCATTGTGATAAAAGAAGAGGGTATTAATTAGATTACTCGATAATGAAAAACCTAACTTCCGTTAGTAACGCTGTTGTTTTAAACACCACTATTCCCATCACAATGTTGCTGATTGAGCAGCTGCAAGACACTCTTGTAGATGAGATTTTTAATCAAGTTTTAGTTTTTCCTGGACAAACAAATAAATAAAATCACTGATATTGGGTAAAGAAGGCTAGAAGCTAAAGCTGAGCTAACAATGCTAAAGTTGAATTGGCAACAAATAGTCGTCTCTAAAAAATCTCAAGTTACTTTTTCAATTGCCAACAACGTACATTGAAATTTACTCATCTACTCATGAACTTACTGTTAATGACTCGTCTTTGCTCAACATCTAGAATCGGTAATGCTTCCCTTTACAGCCCCCTAATTACTAAGTACTTACATGGTAACTACATAGTAAGTTAAAGTATTATTGTGTAATTAATGTGCATAAATGTAATAAAGTGTAATTATTATGTAAAGCAGTATTTACTGGGAAGGATTAATAAAATAAGAACTAGAATTTAACCTGAGTTACATGGTAATAGCTGTTTGAGAACTCAGAAACAATAATACACTGTAACTTACTATGTAATTACCATTTAAGTACTTAGTAATTAGGGGACTGTAAAAGGAAGCGTTACCCTAGAATCTTCTATGCACTGATCTGTGGCGGGCAACAGGGGTAACAGGGATGGGAAAGTCTCTGTGTATTTTCAAAAGAAGCTGCAGTAAACAAACTTGACCACAAGGTGTCATTCTAACATAGTACACCTTTAATGTCAGATTTAACCCCAAAATTCCACTCCCTCCGCTCCGCTCCGGTCCGCCCCCGCCTTCCGCAGCCGCTCGCTTCCGAACTCAATTTTTACTGATACCCGCTCTACAACGGCTCCGCTCCGGTGCGGAGACCTGAGGTGGGGAAACAAGCATGCGCGGGATTTTCGAGATCTTGCGATACAGTCCGAGCAATAAACGCGGAAGTTAGATCCAAACACCCGTTGTGTGGGAGAAGCATCGAAATGAACTGTTTAATCTGCCCATCATTTGTGTTGAGAGATCAGCAGTGTTTGGATCAACAAAGTGTGACTACTTTGATAGTGGAAACTGTATTTATGGCTTACTTTTGTGCATTTAAACTTCAGCCGCCATTGATAGTTGTTAAAAGTTGTTAAACCTGTGCATATGAAACAAAAAATGCCTTTTGTTTATTGATTTATTGTGAAAAACGGAAGTTGTGCTTGCTCCTTTTCCTGTTGGGCCGTTGTGATTTCTGTCCATTTACTGCGGAGGCGCTCCGGCGTCCGGCAAAAATAGGATCGATTCTATTTTTGCCGGATGGCGGAACAGAGGGCGGCGCACTGAGCCGCACTGCCGGAGCACGGCCGCAGTAGTGGAATTGCTCTGATTGACTAGAACGGGACCGATTTTGCTCCGGCGTTCGTGTCGGAGCGGAGCGGAGGTAGTGGAATTTGGGGGTAAGAGTAACAGACCTATGATATATACATGTATAGGATATATATATTTATTTATATTTATATAGTGTGTGTGTGCGTGTGCGTGTGCGTGTGTGTGTGTGTGTGTGTGTGTGTGTGTCTATCTTTTTCTTCTTCCGGCTCTTGGAGAGTACAGACACTTTTTTCTCCTCTCCCTCCCTCTCTTATCCCAAGGCTCTTTGTCCTGTCTGTGCACGGTGCTTTCTGCATTTTTTCTGAAAACTGAAAATTATTAAAAATGAATCTGGTCAGTTGGTCTCTCAACGTCACTGACAAAATGTTTTCAACGATAAGAACCAGAGGCTCCCGGATGCCCCTCTGGGACAAAGTCAACTGGGCATATCATTAACAGTGGAACCTGATATGCCTCTCTCACCTGTCTGTAGAGGATTCTGAAGACGTTTGGATATTCGTCGTTTTGGTGTCGAGATTTCTGCTGTTTGGCCTGAGCGGTTACCTGGCATACCGGAAAATTAACGAGCTTTCGAGGAATACTGGCTCAGTGCCGGAGATCAGGGATAGGATGCATCACGCTATGAAAACACAAACTGATATAATTGTCAAGACGAGTCGTAAGCTTGGAACTTTGGCTGAGATTCAGACTCTGACCCAGAGGGTGGATTCCATCAAGGACAGAGTTGCGGACGGATCAGCACGGATTGGGATAGATTGATAACACCATTATTGGATCTAGAGGGGTTGAAGACCAAGAGAACTCTAAGGCAGAGAGGAAATTATCTCTGTCTGTCCCAAAACACTCCTTATCTGAATCTGGTGCCCTTGAGCCTGTGAGGCTGAAGTAAAAACTCCCCCCTCAGAAGAAATGTGGAATGTGGCTGTTGCTATGGTAACTCTTCCCCCAATCCCAGCTTGGGCGGGACTGTGACCGGTGAAGGCCGTGGAACCGTATCTAGGAGTCACTGTGCTCTCTAACCCATTACCTCCGTCCCCTGTCCAGATGGAGGTGATGAGAGCTGCTCCGCGGCTACACGCACCGAAGTGAGGACAGTCCTACCCTACCTCCCCACCTAGTGGACACTTACGTTGTGTAATGTCTGAAGTCTGTTGCATATCTGTCTGAGGTGTTTTTTTGCATAGCAAAGCTGCCCTCTCTGTGGAGGGTAACTCTGAAGTGCCTTTTTTCCCCTCCCCCTGACTCTATCCTCATATACACCCTCTTGATCTATTACAGTAGCGCAACTCGGGTTGCGAATGACCGCAGTCACCAATTCTTGTCATGTGTTTTTGTATGTATGTCTGACCTCAGAATTGTGTGTACTGAAACTCTAATTTCCCTCTGGGATTAATAAAGTATTATTGAATTGAAATGAATTGAATTGAACTGAATCTGCTCTTGACTCAAAGAAAAGCCCAGGTCTAAATAGTCCAAAGTTGATGCCAAAGCTGTTTCAAACAAGCCACCGCGATCTTAGTTGGTACACTCTGTTACATCATCCCATCATCTTAACTGTTAAGAACGCTGTGGTTGACATACAATACCGGTCAGGGCAATGGTAAACCTGCTGTGGAACATAGCTAGACTGATATGCAAAGCTAAATCATTTTGCTTTGGCTACTGTCTGTCTAGGATTTTAGGCTGTTTATGCAGCTTTTATTAATCATGAATCTTCTTTTCCTGCAGCACATACAAGCTTCAGCAGCTTCAAACCACCTCTTAGTGCGGCTACGTGTGACGATGAGGTCCGTCGTGCTGCTGTGTCTCCTGGTGGTCCAGGAGGCTGGAGCTGCCAGGTTCGTCCGGGACTCCCAGAGCATGCCTGAAGCTTCAGAACCATCCAAGAGCAACGCATCCATCCCCTCTTCCCCTTCACAGCCCACTCGTCCACGGAGCCCTCCCCCCATGTGTTTAAAGCCAACAGAGATCAAGCACGCCTTCAAGTATGTGAACACCATCATATCCTGCCTGATCTTTGTGGTGGGGATCATCGGCAACTCCACGCTGCTCAGGATCATTTACAGGAACAAGTGCATGTGGAATGGGCCCAATGTTCTGATTGGCAGCCTGGCGCTGGGAGACCTGCTTTATATCGTCATCGCTATTCCTATTAATGTGTATAAGGTGAGCAGATTTAGCACTGCTGTCTGTTTTCTGTGTTCACGGAGACCTGAAGTTATCTGAGATCAGATGAAGTCTGTTGGATCTGTGAATAAAAACATCCTGAAACTCATGATAAGTGAATTTCCCAACTGTCTATTCTATTCTATTCTATTCTATTAACATTAGTTTAAATAAATACTGCCCTGATCAATTAAATTCTAATTAGCTGATTTTTGCGTGGCAAAGTGGAGAAACCAAGGCCCAGGTGGGATTTGATCCCCAGACTTCTGGGTGAGAGTCACGCTCGCTAACCAGTCAGCCACATCAGTCTCATTTTACATAATCTTTTTCTGCAGCTAGCAGTGATGAAATTTTGTTTTTAAAAATCCACTTTTAATTAGGATATTTGGTCTATTTCTAATGTTTTTCTGCATAAATGTAGTAAGTTTACATTTTATCTGTTTTAGAAAGCTTCCTGAATGGCCTCAGTTTAGAAAAATAACAATACAATTCACTGGATTGATGCGCTAACAGCTAGTCTGAGCAGTCATGCTGATATCTTGAAACAGCTCCAATCTCATCATCACAGCAGTGTGTTATTTTATAAACCTTTACTCAATCATCAGTTCTGTACCACATGTTTATTTGGGTAGAAGCATTAGGTCGTTCATGCAGGATTTTATCTTTGGATGCATCAAAGGTGATACATTTTGATGCTGATGATTAGATTTGCATTGGTAAACAACCGATGAATGCATAATTCTGGAGGTTTGCAAACTTTTCAGCTTCCAACCAACATAAAAGCTGTCAAAAAAGTGGTGATGCCACACTGTAAAAAAATTGCCGTCTATTTAACTGTGATAAATCGTTAAACCATGACAGGAAAAACACGTCAACTATGAAACTTTTTAAAACGGTTGATTTTATGTGATGTTGTCGTAAATAAATTAACTGATGAAAACTGTAATTTTTACAAATTTTCTTTTAAAAAATACATAGTTCTACTGTAAAGCACTCTTGCATTGTTTTTTTCACAGAAACTTTCCCAAAAACGATATGATTTTTACATTTTTTTAGTGACTAAAATACAGCTTTTAATTGCTGGTATTTGCAGAAGAAGTTTACTTCCTGTTTCCCAGTGTGCTTAGCGGCATTTATGTGAGGTCTAGCTGAACTGTTAGTCGGAGGGACGTGTCTGTTCTTGACCTGACTCGTGAATGCTCGTGAAGGCTGTTCTGCTGTTTAATACTGATGTCATTACAAGGCTTTTGACTGCTACAACTTTACACAAGTGCAGTTGAAAGACGTGAACAGCAACGAAGTGGGCAAAGCTATGATAACCGGTCATGACCTTAACTGATGTTAATTGTTTTTTGTTTAAGTTGAACAGGGAAAGGTGATTTTATGTAATGAGGAAAACCCTTTGAATTGAGTTTTTAGTGGCACAAGTTTTACTTTAGAGATTATTTTCATGTACGTGGTGCATTTGACAAGTCAGAGCTGAAAACGGCTTGTGCTGCGTTAGTCAGTGCCTCCGCTCCGGTCGGGTGTTTTTTCCTCTCTCTCTCTCTCCTCTTCCTCTGGATCCACTCCCTCTTTCCTATTCACTCTCTCTCTTTCTTTACATTTTTTAATCCCAATTGTCTATTTTTTGCACATTTTAAATACATTTTAATCATTTTCTAAATTATTTTTTTCTATTTTACATGTTTTGTTTTTGTGAAGCGGCACAAGTTTTACTTTATAGATTATTTTCATGTTCATTTTACGGGAAAACAATGTTTTGTAGTGATGGGATTAATGGCTCTTTCATGGGAGCCGTTCATTAGTTGGTCGTTTACTTCACACAGCCGTTCAAAAGACTGGCTCCTTTGAACGAAGTGAAGCCAAGAGAATGGGGGTGGGGGGGGTGGGGGTGGGGGGATTAAGAGCAATGTGTTCCTGCGGTGTCCGTGAGGGTGCACGGGCTTGGTTAGGGTTCCTCCTACGTCCGTCACAGTAGTAGGTGGGGTTTGAGCGGGTGCGCTTTACCGACTTCCGGGGAGGTTTGTTACCAGAAGACAAGATGAACGGCTCTCTACAGGGACTCGGCTCTCATCATTCACTTTGAAAACCCATTCAAAAGATTTGATTCGTTCGTGAACGTCACATCACTAATGTTTTGTTTCATTTTCTCAAGTAAAAACAGTAAAATAACAACTTCAGTACCATTTTAACCATAAAACCACCTTACCGTAAACGAAAAAAGTTTTGCCCGTAATTTCACGATACCATTCGGGCAACCCCAGCTGCCTGCATTTTACCGTAAAATCTGTTTTTTTTTTTTTGTTTTTTACAGTGGAATAATAACTTCCTCAAGTGCTTTCACTTCGACCATAAAGTTCCCAAGGAGACCTTAATATGTCTGCCTGTTGGCGTATAACGATATCCAACACCATTGTTGATGCAGGGTCAGGCCTTGCTCTGTCATTAGATAAACTAATGAGTTGTAGATGAACCAAAAAAAGAAGCAGGAGGACGAGTGAGGCGAGTAAGCTGGATGGAGAGTCAGCCACTTACGAGACACTGATTGGAGATGAGGAGGAGGAAATCAAGGCACAATTGAAAAATTTTACTATAAATATAACTGAGTCTTTATCTCAGACTGAGGTAGCTGCAGCTTTCGTTGACCAAATTCATTTCAGAACAAAGACACACAAAAAAAAAGAAACAAGACCCAGCAAGTCTGTCGGTATGTTTGACATGTGGCACTTTGACATCTTCTTTCATAAAATTCATTTTCCTCTTGTTATGATTTTGTCCGGCAGCTAATTGCCGAGGACTGGCCGTTTGGAGTCTACATCTGCAAGTTGATGCCGTTTATCCAGAAAGCCTCAGTAGGAATCACTGTCCTCAGCCTGTGTGCTCTCAGCATTGACCGGTGAGCACACACACACACACACACACACACACACGTGCACACACACACACACACACACACACACACACACACACACACACACACACACACACGCACACACACACACACACGGCCATCTGTAGCACCTGTTTATGTTTAAACCCCTTTACCAGCTACCATGCAGTGACATCATGGAGCAGGGTGAAGGGGATGGGGATCCCTCTGTGGAAGGCGGTGGAGGTCACTCTGATCTGGCTGGTTGCCGTGGTGCTGGCAGTCCCTGAGGCGCTGGCGTTTGATATGATGGAGATGTCGTACAGAGGAAGCAAGCTGCGTGTCTGCCTGCTGCATCCGGTGCAGGCCACCAGCTTTCTGAAGGTGGGCAAAGATCACATTGATGATGGCACGTCAGAATAATGTTTCATTTCAGTTTTATGGTTCAAATATTAGTTTTTCTAATGTCTTTTGTTGTATTTAGTTATTTAATGGTTAAACACCATGTTTGTGTGCAGGTGAGTGGGCAGGACTTTTCCGTGTTAAAACATCTGGACACACTTTGACCTCATGGTTTGTCTCTTCAAAACATGAGTTGCTTGGTAACAAGTAGTGAATTAAACATGGATTTGACCCTTATTAAGACATTTAAGCTGACCCATAACAACCACCACCCGCTAGTGGTTGGCTCCAGTACAAGTTTTAATTCCCACCTCCTCTGTGTAATCCAATGAGACATGTTCCCTCCTAAAAAAATAAATACCCCCCCCCCCCCCCCCCCCGAATATATTTATAGATGGTGACGTTCATAGAATCACATGGTTCTTATCCTGCTCCTTTTTTTAGAGATTTATTTTTTTCTAAAAAATTGTTTTTGCAGTTTAAAACCATTCAATTCTAAATGACAAAATGATGGCTTCTCTTTTGGGAAGTAGACAGAGATACATCAAATCAAGTCAAATGAATTAAGCACTTTTCATACAGCAAGTGCAACTCAAAGTGCTGTAAGATTAAATGTTGTTCAGATTAAAGTGACAGTGTGTATTTTTCCTGGCGATAGGGGGCAGTAGATACCCTAATCGTTGCAAGCAAGCAGTATTTTTGTGTTTGAGTAACCTTACCAATGGATGCCCATTAGGGTCAAAAGGCCCTGGGGAGTGCAAACTTTAGCAAACTAACAATCACATCAGACTCCCTTTCATCACTGGCAATGAGTGGAGAGATAAATGTGTAAAACAACAACATTTAAGAATTATGAAAGTTTTGTAACCCTTTTTTATAAATCAGAAAATGCATGTTGTCCTCATGGGCTCCTGTAGAAGGAAACATGACACCTAATATGGAGTTGCCCAGAAATTTAGACCCGTTCCCATGTATTTTAGACCTGATTTTTATGGTTACATAAGCCGTGAATATTTTTCAACAACCGGGCATCATTTCATTCATTTTCAACAACATTTTGATGGATATTAATGTTAAAAACTACACATTGTCTCTTTAATATGCTGTTAGGATTTGTGCTCTCTTATTTGTGCTCGCTATATAAAAGATTGTTTTCTTGATTTCCTGGCGAAAACCATATTGCCATACTTTCGGTTTTTGACATATTTGAACATCTTTCTCATATTAGCATGAACTCGATGCATGAAAGAAGTTTCATGGTAATCTATTGTTAAGTATTTCTAAATGATATAACTTCCAAAACTGATGAGCTGACCATCACAGACACTCTTGTACATAACGGTAATAAAACAACAAAAGAAAGCTATTTATTCCTGATAGGGCTGGCACCAGTCGCTGGAAGAAATGCTTGAGCAGCACGAAAAACTCAGAGCAGCTGCATACTTCCCCGTTCCTTAGAAATAAGATGAGAACAACCAGAAACATCTGGTCAAAATTATCCTCTTCATTTAGATCGAAGTCTGAAAAACAGGACTACAAATCCATGGTTGTTTTCACCTGGTATTACTTTCAACTACAAAATGTCGCCAGAATGGTTGGGTTCAGAGCAAAAGGCAGGCACAGTTGGGCCCTTTAATCAGGCTTTTCTTTTTTTCTTTGCCAAAAACAGATGAATAAACTCAGACAGTGCATGTAAATGATCTTGATATGACCTGTCCTCGTGGTTTTATGAGGATTTCAGAAATTTGATCAGGAAAAAGGAAATTAAATCACAGTTACAAAAGATTTCACGGGTGGTCTCTTTCACTCTGAAGCAAAGACACTGAATTACAAGGTTCACCATGAAAAGGTCCAATTAGATTTCAGCGAGATCACCACTGTTGACTTCATTATAATTAGAAAGTTGATAAAATATTTGGAAGGTCAACAGGTGGATTGGTGCTGCGTCTGCAATGATGCGGGCGTTGTACCGGTCTATCGTGGTGAAGAGACAGCTGAGCCGGAAGGCGACCGGACGATCTGCGTTCCTACCCTTATCAATGGTCACGAGCTTTGGGTTGGGACCGAAAGAATGAGATTCAAGAAATAGGGCTCTGGCAAAAATAGAATATCACAATTTTTCTATTACTTTAATCACGACTTTGATTTTTTTTAAAGATGACCAGCTTCATTTAAACTGCATATTGAAGAAGAGAAACACTGAATAAAAAAGTCACAGTATTTCTCGTTTTTCAAACTACTTAAAAATAAATAAAATTCGTAAACGTATTTAAAGCGCCGTGGCTAATTTGCATGCTGAGATGGCAAGGCCGGATTAACCACATGGGCAACTGGGCAATTGCCCAGGGCCCACAAACTCTAAAGGGCCCAGGGCGGCAAGAGCACGAGCAAAACACTGTATCTGTAATCTCCCACTCTATATTAAACTAGGGTGACCGTACGTCCTCTTTTCCGCGGACATGTCCACTTTTCACTCTCTGTCCGGGGCGTCCGGACTGGGAGTTCTTGATGAACATGTACTGCTTTTCATCCAGGAGCAGGGATTGAATTATGGGGGAGCTGGATATCCTACACATCCAGGGCAGCCGGAAAAAAGTGTTCTACCTATATTACATCATTTATAGACTCATTTTAGCAGAGAGCACAGAGAGAGGCACAGCGATGATCGTTCTTGCGCAGCGCTCCATGCAGCTGCTTCCAGCGCACGGTCCATTCTCAAAGTGGCGCAACCAAAAAATCATTCATGTCCGCACATGTTCTCTGTTTTCTGTCTTATTTGTGCCTGAAGCGCTCTGCTACTGCGGAGCTCATCACCTGTGCTGCGGTGATTTCACCTCACTGACGCAGCATCGAAACGCGCTCTCCGCTTTGCGGTCAGGAGATCCCTTTGATCTGCTCAAAAGTAACTGCTGAGGTGAAAAAGTAAGAATCCAGGCAGCAGATTTTCTGGAGAGTTTAGAGGAGATGCAGGAAGAAGAGAGACAGACAGGACAGGAAATAGTTAAATAAAAACAAGAAAACTAAACAAAGTGTTGAAAAGTAAAATGTAGGTAGATTTATCTCCACTGCACGTTTTTACCTGTATAAAACAATAAGTTATACACATGTAATATTTATACATCTGATACAATTCAGACCACCTTCAAAACTCGGTCACACACCCAGGGCTGTTTCAAGACATTTTGGGGGCCAAGGCTAAATGACACCCCCCCCCCCCCCCCCCCCCCCCCCCCCGTTCTCTTGGCTTCACTTCGTTCAAAGGAGCCAGTCATTTGAACGGCTGTGTGAGGTAAACGGCCAACTAATGAACTGCTCCCATGAAAGAGCCATTAATCCCATCACTACAAAGCATTGTTTTTCCGTAAAATGAACATGAAAATAATCTATAAAGTAAGACTTGTGCCGCTTCACACAAAAACAAAACATGTAAAATAAAAAAAAGAATTTAGAAAATGATTAAAATGTATTTAAAATGTGCAAAAAATAGACAATTGGGATTTAAAAATGTAAAGAAAGAGAGAGAGTGAATAGGAAAGAGGGAGTGGATCCAGAGGAAGAGGAGAGAGAGAGAGAGAGAGAGGAAAAAATAACCGACCGGAGCAGAGACACTGACTAACGCAGCACAAGCCGTTTTCAGCTCTGACTTGTCAAATGCACCAAGTACGTTATGAAAAAAGTCACTTTAAATAACTTTAAAGTAACTTTAAAAAGAAGCAAACTGAAGAAAACATAGAGAGTACTGAAGAAACGTAAACAGTGAAGCAAGCACAGAGAGATCCGTTACTGTCTGTGTGTGTGCGTGGATGGGCCGGACGGACTGAGTTCCCGGCTGCAGAGTTTTGTGTGTAGGGAGGGGCGGGCGCTCTATGTGGCTGGCCAATCACAGAGCATGAAGACAGTCAGTTACCCAATGAGGATTTTCCTTCAGCACGATTACAGATATTTACGAGTTTTACTCGTTTCATGTTCGTACTCGTCAAAAATGCTTTATCCGTACCGGATACTCGTCTGAAATGAGTATCCGGCTCATCCCTACAAGGAACATTTCACCTGCCGTGGCCCGACCGCTTCTGCTCCACATAAACTTTGTGAGTGATCAAATGTCTCTACAGGTGCTTTCTGAGCTGAAGAGGCTATTCTGCCTCAGACTGGATGCGTCAGGCGTCTCCATATTGGAGACGGGAACAAGCGCTATTAAGCCAAAGTTTCATAATCAGCAAACATTTTTCCAAGTGACACATCCCTCAGAGTGACCGGGTTTCCAGACCGTTCCAGTGGGAGGAAATCTTATCGCATGCGCTGTAGTTCTGCACTGCGCTGCAAACCCCTCTACAGATCTTCAGCTCACTGTCCACCGTGGGCGCTCCGAGCCGCGCTGAACACAGTGTCTAGTATAAAGCTCTGATGTTCTGATGGGAATCATTTCTTGATTGATTTAGTTACCTCCGCGATGTGCGTAACGAGTAAAATGTCAGCTCATCTATGTGTGCATCAGTGTGCGTCGGGGTAATTCTTTCAAAACAACCAACATCCTTGAGTTTATCCGTCAAAATAAACAGTCAAATGTAAATATCTGTAACCTGCCATTTAACTGTTTTGCCTTCTTGTGAAGATTGTTGCAAAGAGAAACAATTAAACTTGATTAACCCCAGAGCCATGCGCACTGCGCTGTGCTTTGTGACTGTAAATGAGGGGGAAACGATTTAATCAGATCCTTTTTTTTCCAACATGGTTTAATGTAAAGTTTTATTCAGTACAAACTTTAGTCGCACCAATCTAACGAGACAGAGCCTGGATTTGTATTCTGAACAGTATAAACATGTTTAAAACGGAGAAATGCGTGACACGTCTAAAATTCGCACCTGCTCCGCTATTATGGAAATTAAACTAACAAGAGGAATAACATCAAATTATTTTAGGCACAGACAACATCCCCCACAATTTTGAAAATCTTGCGATGCACCTGGCCTGAGGCCTCATCT